CGTCGCCCGCTGTCGCGCTGCCGTCGTGCCGAGCTCGCTGCCGCGCTCGCCGTCGCCCGCTGTAACGCTCGAGCTCGTGAAACCCGAGCTTCTTCTTTGCCGCGCGGGTCGGGTTGGGTCAACCCGGCAACCCGTCAGGTCGAGTCTGGGTTTGAATTTCCGAACCGTTTACCAATCCGGGTCGAGTCCGAGTTCAAATTTCTGACCCGTTTGAACCCGAGTCAGTTTCGGGTTCGACCCGAACCCGACCTGTGACCCGAAATTGACACCCATACTGATACATATAATTACTAATAAGATTGTCACCTTCCATTGTTACTAAGATTGATAAACATTTTTGTTGATAAAGTCAATGTTCAATATTGCTATTAACTGACAACCATCATTACAAACATGAAGAATGCATTTTATCACTAGTAAAGTTGCACTAGTGCCACTAATGCCTTATGTCTCCTCAAACCAAAATGTCTGACATCATAGAAATAAGTGATGTTTAACCTCACCAAGAATATTGATGTATGATGTTACTCACAAAATCAATACCCATCATCCTCAACATGCTTGATAACCTTCCCGTCCCGATTCTCAGAGGTATTTCAGCAGCATATTCGCCTGCAGACAAAGCGCTTAAGCATCCGGTGATTCAACATTCCAATAAATAATACAGCAAATAAGATTTCATTTCATTTGAGACGATTTTTTTTGTTATTTCTTAAAGCAGTTTAATAGTATAAATTTAAATTTTTTATTAAAAAATTACTTTAAAAAACAGAAAAAAACCGTTCCAAATGAATCATAAGCTTATCTTTTCACGGATTAGATATTTAAAAAACCTTCTTTCAACAATAAGAAAAATCCTCTTTCTAATGCTTTTTCAACATAAAATAATAGATAATCAATACAATGTGATATCAATCACATATTTTCTACCAAGGAGTTATATCCAAAATAAATGTAGAAAATAAAGTGCTGAAAGAAATGAAATTAGAAAGAACACATCAGATTTACAATGGTTCGGTCCATCCTAGCCTACATCTACTCCTCGGAGGCATCCTCCAAGTATTGCACTAAACCTTTAGTGACTCTACTTTAGCCCCCATAACAAGGAGGAGAAGTCCTTACAAAATCACTTCCACCTTTCCCAATGTGGCAGAGTAATCACGTCCTTTGACACCAAAGATTTCTTCTTTTTTTCAAAACTTCCCTCAAGACAAACCTTTAATCCGATGATACTAAGTTGCAAGCTTGCCAGAGCAACCATGTGAAATCCCCTCCACACTCCCTTGAAAACCCCTCTAAGGATCTTCTCCCTCACAAACTCCACCCTTTTCTCTCTCCCTTTCAAGTTCTCTCTTCAAGTTATCACCAGAAGAATGAACACACAATGGCTACCAAATACACTTACCGAATGCCTTGACAAAGCTTAAATAGTGGACTTTAAAAAACCTTAAAAATAAATTATGGCACCAAAGATCGTCCAATACAATAACATGATTTTCCAGTATGATATGCTTGAATAGAGGGCTTCAAAAACATTAAAAAACTTAATGCATTTTATCACTAGTAAAGTTGCACTAGTGCCACTAATGCCTTCTGTCTCCTCAAACCCAAATGTCTGACATCATAGAAATAATTGATATTTAACCTCACCAAGAATATTGATGTATGATGTTACTCACAAAATCAATACCCATCATCCTCAACATGCTTGATAACCTTAGTTAATGCTCATCGCCGTCACAAATATTAAACCTCAATATTGCCACCAGCTTGATACCCAACATTGCCAACAAGGTAGTCATTTATAGTCGTTGATAAGTTCAAAACCCGACATCATAAATAAAGCTGATGCTTGATGTCATAACGACATTGATGCCTAATGTCATTAGCAATGCTAATGTCCTGTGTTGCCACATTGGCCAACGCTTGGCTTTGCCACCATCATCGACACTTATCATTATTATCATTAATGCTAATACCCATCTTCCTATTAAGCGATCTTCGTTTTAAGAAGAGAGTGATTAAACATATTACCTATCATATTTGATGTCAACCCTAACACATACTTACCCTAAATAAAAGTCAATCTTCCATAATCCATATCTATGTTGCATTGAAGAATTATCTAGTTATAATGAAGTGTATTACTTATTATACACTACTAGAGTTCTATAATTTTTCCTATTTTTGAATTTTTACATAATTTTTTTTTTTCAATTTGAGTGATTTTTTAATAATATTTGGATGAAGAAGTTAGCAATATTTTTTTCTTTTAAGTGTGAAAACTTTGTGTTTGAATTTGTATGTATGGTATATTGGTATGTAATTTAATCATGGACAATATCATTTTTTTATATTTAAAGTATATATTTATTTAATATATTTTTTATTTTAAAAATAAATTAAGATATTTTTAAACACACTCAAAATAAATTTGAAATATTATAATTATTTCTAAAATAGGAAGTCCCAATGGCCATTTGCCTTACTGGCCAATTATTGCCGTTACTTGAATGAAGTTATTTAATATTCAATAAGAATAAAATAATATTTTTTAAAACTTCAAATATATATTGTTTTATATCAAAATATAAATAAAAAAAAATAAAAATAAAAGCGATCTCAAGTTTTTTGAGGACTAAGGGTTCGTTTGGGACGGCTTTCTTACTGCTTCTTAAAGCAACTTTTTAGTACAAAAATTAAAAATTTTTAACTAGAAAGTTACTTTGAGAAGCAATAAGAAAGTCGTCCCAAATGAAGCCTAAAATGTTAAAAAAAAAAAAAGAGAAAAATAATACAAAAAAAGCACTAAATTAAGAAAAATAAAAAAAAAAAAAAAGAGACAAATAATATCACATAAGCTACTAATTAAGAAAAATATAATTTGATAGACGGCCAGCCACATGTTTCCGGATTCGAAATAATTACGGCGAATATTATGGAAATCTCAAATCTGTTAACAAATAATATTTTAAACTGCGTCGCATGCGAGACTTTCCTAAGCGTAATTCTACACGAAATTACTATAAATAAGGGCAAGGGGGAGCCATGAATAGGCTTGAAGCAGCAGCGAAAGCAAGCAAATCTCTAATCCTCTTCTTTGCCTCCTCTCTCACCTGACCCTGAGCTTTTTCTTCTCTTAACTGAACACCACAGCAGAACAGCGGAAACTCAGAACTCGCCGGCGGCGAAATCATGGTGGGAACCTCGTCTTACTCGTCCTCTTCCTGCGCCTCTTTCGGTTCATTCGATGACATCAGTACCGTCAAGTACTGCAGCACCGTAAAGTTCGTCTGCAGCTACGGCGGCCGTATTCTGCCCCGTTACCCTGACGCCAAACTCCGGTATGTTGGCGGCGAGACCCGCGTCCTCTCGGTCGATCGTTCCATTCCCTTTTCAGGTCAGTATCCTTTTCCTCGAAGTGATCCGTTCTTGTTACAAAACCCTAGCCAGTATATTATTTTTCGGTTGTTTTATTCGGATCTGTGATCGGGGTTTCGATTTGGGAACAGAGCTCCAGATGAAGATGGGGCAGATGTGCGGATGGAATGCGGTGAATCTGAGATGCCAGCTACCAACGGAGGATCTCGATGCGCTTGTCTCCATCACCTCCGATGAGGATCTCGCAAATCTCATCGAGGAATATGATCTCGCAAGCCGTGATCGGCAGATCCCTCTCAAGATCCGCGCGTTTCTGCATCCCACGCCGTTGAAATCTCCCAAATCCGCTAATCCGGCGCCGATACCCGCATCGGTGAAAGGGAAATCGCCTTTGCGGTATCCCGATCATGCCGTGGCAAACCGGTGCATGGGCCAGATCGCTTGTCCGGCGAGGTTCTCCGTTCGGTCCGGTAACTCCGGCGGCAGGCACTGGTTCCCTGGGCATCAGGCCTATGAGATCCCGGCTGCACCGTATCCCCATCTTATTCACCACGGAAACTATTGGCAATAATGGGTTGATGTGGCGAGGAAGATGATTAAAAAAAAAAGGTAATGAAATTGAACGGAGGATGAACTGAGGAACTTCTATATTGTAATGTAATCGACCGCCGAACGGCAAGAACTTTACTAAATAATAATAATAAAAAAAATTCAGTAAAAATTCAAAATCTCCAAATATAAAACATAACTTGTTTTGCAATATCTCTTCTTATGGGACTCCCCTGTGATTATCGATATGCCTTCGTTAACTCCTTGTGATCAAACCCATGCCGTTGGCGTCCATTCCTTCGCTTCGTTGATCCTTCTCAGCCGTGGTTGCGTTCTCGTTATCGTTCCGTTTCATCCACATTTTTTTCCTGTGTTGCGTTAACAGTTTCTTTTTTTTTTACATATATATTTATATATATGTTTGTTTTTGTAAAATTCATTCCTTTTCTGTTTGTTTATGTAATTTCTTTTTTTCGAAGATTATTTCACGATTTTAATGATTCGTGATTGATCGACTAAGCTTTATATCACAGTTAAATCAATTAATTAACTGTAGCTTATGTGAGGGTTCTTAGTTCTTACTGACCTTTATTTTGTTTATGTGCAGATTAAAAATAATGGAGAGGATCTCACGACGGAACGATGATTTTGTCTGTACATTGCAGTAATTGTTCGCTACATTTCAATAGGAATAGGCTATTTCTACTTTCCTGTTAGTAAATTTTCCTTTATTTTTTTTGAGAAAACATCCTCTGATGAGACGTACTGAAGCCAGACTCTTTTTTTCTAGCTGGATCAGTCTTTTGGGGTGGAATCCATTTGGCAACACATATTATCAGTTGCAAAAGTTTGGATAGAATAAATAAATTTTCAAAAATATTAATTCGGATTTATGTTGCTCTCTCATCTGAAAATACTTTTATTATAAAACTTCTGTATTCATAAATAAAAATAAAATATGTTGGGGTTGCTTTGTATGAGACATTGAAGCTAAGTTGCATATTTGTTAAATATTTTTATGGGAAAAAATGTTGTATTGTCATTAAAGATATCTGCAATAAATTTTTTTACTTGATTTGGAGTAAAATGTTATGTTAAGGCTCCGTATGGGAGGCCGGGCTTTTTTAGTGCTTCATAAAATTGTTTTTTTTTTTTATAAAAAAAATTATTTTTGTGCAAAAAAGTTATTTTAAAAAATAGTAAGAAATCAGTTCCCAAATGAAGCCTAAATTAGAGGTTAAAGGATCTTTTTGGGATTTTTTTTTTGCTACTTTATTTTTCACACAATATATATTTTTTGGACATTTAGGCTATTTAAGTCAAACTCACACACACAATGCATATATAAAATTCAAACATGAAAATCTCTTAGTTGAAAGCTAAGCTCTAAGATGAGCTCTGTAATAATTTTATTTGGCTATCATTTTTTTTCTTATTTTTTTGAGTTTATTTTAAAAAAACATGTGAAATTGCTATTTACAACCTATGATATTTATATTATTTTTTCGCATAATAAATTTTATTTGCTTATATATATGTACATATATTTAAAAATACTTTTATGGATATAGGTGTCAATATTGGTTCTGTACTATTCAAAATGCAAAAATATCTTTTTGAATACAACTCAATTGGACGCGTCTGCGAACTTCAACTACCTGGAATGATGTTCAGTTAGAGATGCCCTTACGAGATTGCTAGAAGTCAAAATTTTAACTAATTTCAGACCTTTTTTTTGTACATTTAGGCCAATTAATGTAGACTCACACACACCGCGCACACAAAATTTAAATTCAAGACATCTTAATTAATAACCTAAGCTCTCAGTCAACATATCAAGATGAGCTCTCTTCCGAACATTATTACTCGGGTCCCACAAATTTGGGGCAATTCATGCATCTCTCTTTCTCTCTCTGTCTCTCTCCACCTTGATTACGTTAAGGGCTTAGGTGAAGCAAAATATCAAACGGTATCTTGATCTTTTTTGTTTTTTAAAACGGATTTGAAAGAAAAAAATGTGTAGTATAATTTTGATTAATTTTTATGTATTATATTGATCATAAAAATAAATATAGTAATTTTAATATTCATTCTAATTAAATTTTGAATTTTTTTTTTCAAAACAAATTCACATGACATGCTTGGCTCCTGAATGTGCTGTGGTGGGCCAACATCTGGGCACATTGGGTCAGATTGACGTGTCGTGTGGTGCCCGTAGGTGGCGAGGCTTGGCATTTTGCCGACTGGATTGCACGTAGTGGGCCAGCCCATGGCGTGGAGGCGAATGATGCCTTCCACCGAATCGCTGTTTAGGAATCCACAATGGTACAACTATATGCAATTTGGACCCTATAGATCTTGTAATTGTTCTTCAAAATTTTTTATAAATAAACAAAACTTGATTAATAACTAGTCATTTATTATTGTTTTATTATAAAGTTAAATTACAAATCCAATGAGTAATTATCAAATATATCAATAAAAAAGAAAAAATTTATGAATTATTATAATATATCATATTTATCTTTCATCATTTTTAAATTATATTTTTAACCAAAAAAAAAAAACATTTATGTAAAAACATATACATTTTTTATATAAAATATGATTTTAATAAAAATGATGAGCTCAATTGGAGATTAACTATAATCAAAATGATAGGCCGAGTTAGGCCTTCCCTGGCCCATATCGGGACCCAGGCCCATATCCAAAATAAATATCAGTACGAAATAAATATAACGAAAACAAAAAACAAATACCAAACATATTATTAAGAACCAAACAAAATCTTCATAACTCTCAAGAGGTAAACATCAAAGCAAATAAGAACATATAAGTATTTTAGGATTTGTTTGGAATAGCTTTATGACTGTTTTCAAAAACAATTTTTTAATATAAAATTTTCTTTTTCAAAATAATAAAAAAATCGTCCCAAATAAAACGTTCTTAGAGATATTATACTGACCAGCCATAGAAATATCCTGCTGGTCACAGTAAACTCCTTTCCACATCTTCAATATAGCCAAAGCACTATACACATTATGAAAATGATGGACAGATCTGCAATATTGAATAGAGTTTATCTTATAGACCATTTTCTGCAAGCAGATGTGACTTCAACACATGAGCTTAGCATGAAAACCCAACAAGCATGATTGAATCAGTTCTTGCTCAGTTTAGGCTCATCAGATGTCTAACAAACTTAGTCATCCTCTTGATCTCATATTTTTCTACTTATTTCTTCTATTTGGCACTATGTATTATATAAATTCACTCATCTCCTTCCATAGGAAGAGAGCTGAGCTAAATCGAATTTGTAGAATTGAGATCAAATTCGAACTTATAACTCAATTATTAGTCGAACAATAGCTAAGGTTTCATTGGAATCAGCTTTTGACCGCTTAAGATTGAGCTTTCAAGAGATTTTATATTAAAAAACTGCTTTACAAAACAGTAAAAAAATTATCCCAAACGAAGCTTTAGCAAGCTTAGGTTGAGCTTTCCTATAATCAACATGCTTATGTGGGATGAAGATATTATCCAATAACATAAAGAATAATCTTTAGAAACTAAGAATTGCTGTCTTTTTCATGCTTGAATATCATAAAAAAATCTATCAGTAAAGTAGATTAAATTTTAATCTGGATCAATGAGGACAACACAGCAATACAATATTTCCAAGTGGGCCTAACATTCTTAAATATCTCCTTCCTTAAGTTTTTGTGTTAGTGTTCTAATATATAATGATTTAATCTCAAGAGGCTTATGTGGATTAAAGAGAAACAAAAGGAAGGTTTTCTGAAGCAAATACAGAAGACTAAGGTTGAGGAAATTTAGGCTTCACTAAACAATAATATCCTATAATAATGTAATCTCAAGAGGTCTATGTAGATAAGAAAAACTGAAGGTCTTCTGAAGCAAATCAAGAGGACTGGGTTGAGGAAATATAGGCTTCACTAAATAATAATCTCCTATTTATAGATTAGATTCACAATCTCCAATTTGCATATTAAATTTACAATCTATATTTGTTTTTAAAAACTTTTTAGCACAAATCTTGCATTGTATTTTTTCTTGTAATAATAGCCATGAACAATTTCTTACAAATTATCTTCAGAAATCTCCTCAAGCTCAATTTATTCAATAATGGAGGCAATGTTCTCTTGCATTGCTAAATGTCATTCTACAAGATAGTTTAATTGAATATAACATTCTTACTTTGTTATGATATTCTAATTTTGGTCATAAAAGCTATAGCCAAAATCATCCAAATTTCATATCGAATAAAATTACACTTTACCTAGAACAACTTTGTAACCAACTTTATCGATAGCTGCAATCATCCCAAATAGAATCTTACTCAATCATTCAACAGCATTACCTAGTATTGTTCTTATATTTATAAGACCAACTCAATTGATCAAAAGTTTGAGCAATTATAGTTGAATAACACATCAATAAATAATGTCCTTAACTTGCACTACTCATCTAATAATAATTCACACATTGTACACTTGTACACTAAATTATTTTTCCATTATGCATATTTATTATTATAGTTTTTGCCTTACATTGTTTGGGATTTGAGTTGTGAAGAATTTCGAAAGGGAATTCTAAAGTGTGAAAAAGTTGCACACATATTTCACTCCAGCCCTTGATGTGCCTTGACTCTACTCATCATATTCAGTTATTCACTAATGGTAAACATTTCTACATAAAAAGTTAATTTTTTTCTAGCATCTTCTTTCAACATAGCATCAAGCATCTTCTAAAGACTACTTTGTTTTGACATAAATAATTGAAAATGATAAAAACTCTAACATTGAATCAAATGCAAATATTTATTTGACAAAACTTGTATAAAAATTTCTTATTTTTGGAACCCATCCCACTCTTGAAAGCTTAGAATTATGCTACACTTTTATCGCGCACATTTTCAAGCTCTCAAGAGTTCCACTCTTGGAAGCATGGAACTCTCATTTTACTTTTTGTGCAAAATTATAAAATAATAAAAATAATAATAGAAAGATGTGATCTCACATATTTCTCTTACTATCTTGAAAATCACTATAACTCTCAACCATTGTTTAAAATTGCGCAATATGAGGCTCGTCTTGAGGCCCACCTGAGTGCAATTTCAATGAAAAGCGCCTCAAGGCTTATGCCTCGAGCTTTTTTTATGAGGCTTAGGCCTCATCTTGGCTGAGGCCCGCCTTAAGGCGCGCCTCGCCTCGCTGGCATGAGGCATGCCTCGCTCTGTTTATGTATATTTTTATTTAAAACTTTGCTAAATCCTCTACAAAAGCTCTAAAAAAATCATGTCCTCTTGCGCTTCGAAACCGTATTAATTTCGTCTCAACTACCTCAATCTCCAGCCCATTGCCTTCGCCATAGCCACCACCGTCATTGTCGCCGCCGGGGATCACTTCAAATCCGCATACTACCACCATCTCCTATAAAAATTTAAATATTACTCTTATTTTATGTTGATGAAAAACATTTATGAAAGAAAAAAGATGGTTGAAATAAATAAAAAAGTAGATTTGTAGGTATTGGACCCTATATGATGAGGCAAAGGAGAGGTCAATTTGTTATGACGACTCAAATAAAATTTCCCTTAGTAATAATAGTATAGATGGCTTCTGATTTTTTGTCAATTATTTTAACATTATTAGTAATTAAATGTAGATGAGTAGGGAACTCAGAAATAAGAAATTTAGAGCTAAACTTGATACATTTATGCAATTCATATATTTTATGTTGTTTTTCTCATGTGATATTTGAATTTCAATTTTATTTCATATAATTTATTACTTATCAATTTATATTTTGTGTAATTTTTTGTTTCATATGTATATAAATTTATTACTTCATAGTTCAATAGAAAGTTAATATACCATCCTTTAACATAATATTTGGATATTATATAAAAAACCACTTTTAACTTATCAATTTATATTTTGTGTAATTTTTTGTTTCATATGTATATAAATTTGTTACTTCATAGTTCAATAGAAAGTTAATATACCATCCTTTAACATAATATTTGGGTATTATATAAAAAATCACTTTTAACTTTTATTTTTTTACTTTACGCAGTTTTTAGATTTTGAGGCTTACGCCTCGCCTCATGAATGAAAAAAGCCTCAATACCCAATAACGCAATTTTAAACCTTGCTCTCAACCTAGTGCAAAAAAAACAAGATTCTTAAGTGAGTTCATGCAAAACAACCAGATATCGTTGCAACCAACTTCCCCGAAAGGCATTTCCAAAATTCAGCTCCAACTAAGTGCGTCAAAATAAGTGACGTTGAGAGAGGGAATTATGATCTGAAACAAGCTTTTATTTATTTATTTATTTTGTTTGGAAGTGTTTCACATTGAAGCCAGCAAAATCTTAGCTGGTTTCCTTCAACTTGACTAAGGCTTCGTTTGGGACGACTTTCTTCCTGCTTCATAAAGCTGCTTTCTAATACGAAAAATAAAATTTTTATATTAAAAAGCCGCTTTAAGAAGCAGTAAGAAACCCGTCCCAAACATAACCTAAGTCAAACGTGAAGTTTGCCAAGCTTATTGTTGGAAATATGCAAAGTTTGAAGCTTGGCGTATTTATTGAGAAGACTGTTAAACCTCTACAAAGTTTAAGAGAAAAAAAAAAAAAAAAAAAAAAAAAAAAAAAAAAACAGGAGATCAAGAATATTCAAGCCTCTATAGGTAAATCAGCAAAAGTGGTCGAATAAGGCTTCGTTTGTTTTTTTGGTGCTTTTGTAAAAGACAGTTTTAAAAAACATTAGTTCAGAAAATGGAGTTTTGTAACGGAGAAGCATATATAAAAAGCTTTCTCAAAACTGCAGAAAAATGAAAAAAAGGAGTTATTGGGAACGTGATTTGACAAACCAAACAACACAAAAAAAAATTCCTCCATTTCCAAAAACGGAAAAGGCAAAAAAACTCTCAAACAAACAAAGCCTAAGTGGAAGCAAACAAACGCTAGAGTGAATGACATTTTAAAAGAAGGCGATGATGAAAATACTTTTAAACACAACAAAAGGTGAAGCAAAACAGAACTTCAATGAAATAGAGGCAAGCTCATGAAGCATATGTGGAATACTGGTTTCATGGGATTAACATGAAGCAGAAAACCTGAACCTTCACGCCAACGAATTTAGATCAAGAAAACATTCTGAAGTAAACTTCAGAGGAAAACTAAGGTCTTGAGAAACTTGCACATAACTTAATTTTCAAATGCTAGAGTTATTTGCAAAACTTAACCTGTTTCTTGCTCAAATTCATCACCATCAGATTCTTCAAGATTATCTGCCTCATCATCTTCAGCATCAGCATCTATATCTTCCTTGTAGTCATGACCTGCCTTCCCAATTACAGGCAGATTGCTGTTTGCCTTTCTAATTTCATTCCACTGCAAAAATAGAGTCATGTAAATAACTAATAGTATGTCAAATGTAGAAAAATCAATATTAGAAAAGATTAGCTTCACAAGCAAAATCTGATTGTTAAGAAGTATATTACATGATTTAGTAAATTTAGTTGAGAGACGTTTATAGTATTTAACACCTTATTTTTTATTACATTGATCAGCATACATAGTAAGACGATCAATTGATATTATGATCAAACAATTCATATTTAATTGGAAACAATATCTCATTAACTTTACCATAAGGTTCTTTTAGGCAACCACTGCATGATATTAGTTTTGAGCCTAACAAAGAGCTCAATTGGTAAATATCAGTAAATAGCCTATCATGTAAATCAAAGTTGGAATCATATTCTTAATAAAAGTCACTAAGACTAAATGCTCAATAAAGAAGTTTCTCCTTTAGAACTCTAAAGATGAAACTAGACAACTGGAAGATGATCCATACAAAAAAATTCTTCGTACAATTTGAAATCAAGATAATTTGAGAATGATTTCCAAAGAAAATATGAGTATGATGGTGCCTTAAGATCTCTTAACTTCAAATTCATAACTTTATGTCGTTGTATACCTATGGAGCTACAGATAAATTAGTTCCAAAGGAAAATTATATTCAAATCACTTTAAATTAAGCAGACTTTCATATGTAGGTAACACAAAAAGATCCAAAAATCTATTCTGTCGAAATATATTTTAAGAGTCATCAAATAGGTCATTATGCTAATGACCGTAAACAAATTACAAGACAAATATTTTTGTATTGTTGAATACCTATGGAGCTTTAGGCAAACTAGATCAAAGGAAAATTATAATTAAAACACTTTAAATTAGGCAGACTTTCATACGTGGGTTCTACAAAATGATCTTAAAATCTAAGATTTCTGTCGAAACAAGTTTGAAGGGTCATCAAACTATTCATTATGCTAATGAGTGTTCCAGTCGGAATTTGCATGTTTTTTTTAATTATAGATTTCTATCAAAACATATTTGAAATGTCATCAAATAATTCATTATGCTAATGAGTATTCCAGTCAGAACTTGCAGGTTTTTAGGAAAATTTGATCAAAGGAAAACTATAATTAAATCATTTTAAATTAGGCAGACTTTCATACGTGGGTTCTACAAAATGATCCTAAAACCTAAGATTTTTGTCAAAACATGTTTGAAGTGTCATCAAACTATTCATTATGCTAATGAGCATTCCAGTCGGAACTTGCATGTTTTTCTTTTAAAGTAGGGTCAGTTGAGCAAGCCAACCCTATATGATTCAACAAATTTCATCAGCCATGTCTTAATAACCATATAACAACCACCAAATAAAAAAGAACATGGCATACATAGCCAACTCACCATTTTTAAATGTGAAGAAGAAACTAAAATCAAGGATTTTGATAACGATCATGAGTTTAATTAAGAAATTAATGATTCTAGGGGGATGTTTTAGTTGATAATTCTTTGAATTTCATGTGTTGCATCATCCTTAGGGTTGAATTTAATTGAAAGAGAGTTGCAAATTTTCAAAAACATTTCAAACATGGAGAAGTTTTGTGAACTTATAATTGATAGTGGTAGTTGTATGAATGTTGTGGTGCATGAGATTTAACCCTGAATCACATTAACAACTATATAAAGAAGCTTGAATAAATGAAGTTGCTATTTTTATGTCTTAGAGATGTCTAGTTATGATTCAATCTATATTGATAGAATTTGATGTGATGTGTTACATATAGATGTTGCTCATGCTATTTTGGATAGGCAATGGTTGTATAATTTAGATGTTACTCATTTTAGGAGGTATAATACATTTGCTTTCAAAACTAATATAAGAATGATGGCTTTGAAACCTATAAAGCCTAAAGATAAATTTGAATTTGCATAAGAATCTAACACTCCCAATGAAGTGAAAAATTCTTTGCATATTCTAAATAAATAAGCATTTGAAAAATAGAGTAAGCAATAAGTATATTTAACATCTTAGTAGTTGTTAGAGTGATCTACGTAGCAGTAGTTATGGAATAAAATATAATTTAACACCTAAAGTTGTGACTTCACTGAAATCAAGCGTTGGATGATTTTAAAGTCATTTGTCAGATGAATACTATCACTAAGACATATACAACATGCTATTGATTTAGTTCTTATATCTTTATTGTCTAACCTACCTTATTATAGCAAAAATTCCTTAAAACGTGCAAAACTTAAGGGGCAGGTTAAGGAATTAATTATGAAGGAATTTATTAGAAAAAAAAATATTGACCTTGAAATGTAAATGCGTTGCTTACACCAAAGAAAAATGGAAGCTGAAGGATGTGCGTAGACACTTCATTTGGATGATATGTAATATGTCGAATAAGATAAATTATGTCCTAATATTTTTTTAAATTCATTTTAGGAACGGATGTCATTAAATTAGAATGAGAAAAAGTGAATAGTGAAAGATCGTTTTTAAAATTAAAACTGAATTATATGAATGGATATTAATGCCTTTGGAATTAACCTATGTACCTGGTAATAACGAGTCATGTATTACGACATTTCAATGGAATTTTTTTTTATTTACTTTGAAGATATTTAAATTTATAGCAAAACAAGAAAATGTCATTTGGAGTAATTTAGGAATATATTTATGGTTATATATGCTAAAAAATTCTATCCGAATTTGAAAAAAATGCTATTTCATAGATCCATTTCTGACCTTCCTAGGTTTTTTTGTCTTGATATGGATTAGTTAATTCTAATAAGATTAAAGAGATTAATGACCGGTCAAACTTACTAATATAGTTGATATTCAATGTTTTCATAGTTTAGCTATTTTTAATAGATGATTATTAAAAGATTTAGTACTACTATGGCCCCAATCATAAATAGTCAGAAAAGAAAATGTTAAATCTATTGTTTGTGTTTTTATTAAAATCAAAGAAAAACTTACTAATAAATTTATACTTAAGTTGTTTTATTTTAATAAGGTATTTGAAGTTTCTTGGGATGCATCTAGGTTAAATATCAGTGCATTAAGCAAAAGATCTAACACATTTGCATAATCATTTTGATGAGGACATCAAGACATGGAAAGTCTACTAGAGGCTCTACGGCCACGATTACAGAGCGCTACTTTTAATTTTCATATTTATGATTGATGTATTATTTTTTTTATTTTATGAAGTTTATTATGCTTTTCCCTTTTTGTGCCCTTGAGGGCTTAGGTATGTGTAAGCAATAGGGGCATTGTATGTATTTTTTATCTTCTTCCCCAAGCCTTCCCCCTTGGCCGGCCACCTTCCCTTGCCTTCTCCCACTCAGATTCTTGGGAGAAAGCTGTCCCGATCTTCATGTGCTGATGTTTACACATCTTTGCTTGCTGTCCAGAAATTTCTGGATGCTATTAGTGGCTGTCCACCCTTCCAAAACCCAAGAGAGCTGCTGTCCAAGCCCACCAATCTGCTGTTCAGAGACTCCAGCAGCAGTTCGCTGCTGTCCGACCCCTCTGGATGCGACCGTTGCCAACTGGGACTGTCCGAAATCGCGATCCCAGGTTGGATACTTGCTGTCCAGAATTTCCCAAGTGTCAAAGTTGCTGTCCAGCAATCGTAGCAATCTCCTATTGTGGTGTCGCTGGCTTTAAAGTTCAGATTGTTCTCCAACGACATCGAGAAGAATCGAGGTTGCTTTCTACTTCTGCTCAAGCACATAAACACCACACCGGAGCTTTGGATGTCTTGTTTATTTGGGTGATCTTTCCTCATACTCTTTTATCTTTTAGTCGCTCTCAATTGTAGTTCTAATTGACTCATGAAAAGTTGTGTTAATTCTTCCGACTAAAGTCTAGTATTTAGTAGGAGTTGTGTGAGAGATCTTTCATCGCATTACTCTTATTGCTAAATTAGGGATTTCTTTTTGAAACCCATTTTGTTTGCAACGTCAAGAGTAATTAATTGTTATGTGATTTCTACTTCTCGCAAGTAACTTGGCCTAAGCTTGTGTTTACCGCTCTTTATATTTTATTTCATTGTTTGAATCACCATAAAGAATTAATTAATTTGCTCTTACTCATTAAGCGTGCAAAATTCCTTATCTAAATCAAATTTTCATGCATGTCCTGCATCACATTTGAATAATGTATGCATGATCTACATGATATTGGCAGAATTGTCTACTAATTATGAAAATCACAAGCATTTAGTGCTGTGAACAAGAGGTATGTTAAATTTAAGCATCATAATAACATCATGATGTGTAAAAATCCTGAAATACTTTCATAATTTAAAAAAAAAAAAATATAATGCAAGGAAAGGATGAACATTAAAAGTTGTGCAATGTATATAAACTAATGCATAAAAATTGAAAATTTTAGAAAATTCTAATATAAAGTCAAATTTTAATGCGCAAGAGTTGACTTTATTTCATTAGCTTACTATAAATTTCTTAAATTCACTCATTTCTTAAATACATCCAATCTTTGACTAAAAAGTTCAATATAGCTTGTTCATGAGACTATTATCGATGATGATGTTGTATCCACTTCTAATGAGGGATTTAAGAGAGATTTTATTCATCATAAGACATGCATGCTTGCAATAACTCATAGATTAGTTCGCAGGAAGTACAAAATTTATATTATTATTTATTTGATGGTATTAAATGTTGAAATTGGAATATAATTTGACCAAGCTGGGTAGATTTAATGGAAATCTATATGTTTATTATTGTCGAAAGCATTTGCATCAAGCAATGATTGGAAAAAAATTATTTCTTTTTAAAAGTTGGTTTATTTCAATTTATTTATAGTTTAGTAGTATGGGCATGCTTGTGATGATGGCCATGAAAAAGGTTGTATTTTTCTTTTCTAATGATGGATTGGTTTATATAATTTGGCACGAGTTTTGATTGTTTTGGTTCTTAGATAATATCCAGTTTAATTCAAGTGCAACCTATGGTTGTTGTGATATCAAAGGCTCAATTCATCGGAGTAGAATTTTTTTCAA